TGCTGCAGAGAAGAACTGCCCAGTTCACGACAAGGAATTAATTGCGACGAAGTATGCACCTGTCAAGTTCAGGGTTCACATGCTTAGCACAAAGCCGTTCGTGATCTAGACATATCATTCACTGCGACTCAGTCGCCTCATCTCACGCAAAGGATGGCCAGGTGACTCTTCTTCTTCGCAGAATGTAACTTCGCGGTGAATTATAAGCCAGGAAAGGAGAATGCTTTGGCTGTTGCGTAGCCACGCAGGCCAGATTACGAGCTTGCTCATATCACGACGTAACGTCGTCCATTATGGATTTGATCCACGCTGCGTACGTGGATGATGATATGTGCGAGTGCTTATACAGGATCTCGGGGGCAAGGAGCACGGAATGTCGGACAAGAAGTTGTCGTCGCGACTGTGTGCACGGTTGCGCCGATATTCATAGAGTAACGGGTTGCTGTATTATAGAACAGACTTGACGGATACACCACGAAGTGTGGCTCCTCCCAATGGCGATTTGAAGTACCGTATCTTCTATGATGCCCTCGACGCCCCACGTATTGATCACCTCGGTCGTGAAAAGACCTACAGCTCTATCACTGGTGGTCTAAGCTGTATAAATGGATGAGCACCTATGTGCGCACATGTGAGACGTGTCGAAGGGTGAAAACCTCTCCGAATGCGGCGGCGCCGCTAGCCAGTTTGCCGGTACCGTCCGGATGTTGGCAGTACAGGATGAACTAGGTGCTTGACCTGACGAAAGACTCGGCGGGCAACATAGATAGGGTGGTTTTTGTCGACCGTTTGAGCAAAATGGCTCATCTTGCGGCGGCGCCGGACAAATTGACGGTGTCAGTCAAAGACGCTGATTGGATCGTGTCTATCGACATCATGGATCCCCGGAGTCAATTGTCTCCAACAGAGACCCACGCTTTACTGGGAAGCTTCGCTCGACTATCTTTAGGGTGCTAGGCACCAAGCTGGGTATGTCAACAGCAAACCGCCCCGCAAACCGATGGTCAAAGTGAGCGCGTAAGTCGCGTCGTCGATGACGTTTTTCGCAGCGTCTGCACTGAGACTCCGAGGCGCTGGATCGCTATCTTGCTACTCGCAGAGCTTGCGCTGAGCAGTGCAGTGCATTTGCCTACCGGCTACACGCCGTTCGCGACGGAGTTTGTTAATTCTCGCGTCCCGCTGATGCCGCCATCCCATGGTTTAGGGCTTGGTGGGGGAGGAATAGCCGAGCTAGCCGATGTCAGCCCTTTATCTTGTTTGTAAGGAAGTTGATGACTTCCTGTCTACCAGACTGAGTGACTTACGACATGTTTTCGATGCGATGGCTGAAAGCCAAGACATGCAGAAGGAAGATGTAGACGGAAAAAGAAATGCTGAAAACATTGAGGTTGGTGCCTTGCTTTTCTTGAACGCTAAAAACCTTCATATCCATGCCAATTCTGCTGTCTTTAAGACGAAGGTCCGACCACAGTTTATCAGATCCTTTAAAGTTGTGGCCAAGCGGGGCCTTGCGTATACGCTAAATTTCCCGAAACGGGTGCGCACCCACCCCATGTTCTTATGTGGTCTTGCTTAAGCATCCGGTGCAAGTGAACGCGAAAGAATTAGCGCCAGAATGGCGCCCACAGGTGCTCGACCAGCCAGAGGCTGGACCAAATACTGGTTTTGAGCACGTAGTGCAACGATCTTCATCTCCAATGGCGCCAAGCGCTCCACCATCGCATGTAACGACGCATTTGTCTGCTCAACGGCAAGGAGCCGCTCTGACAGAGCGCCATAATACTCAACAAGAAGCAGCCATTGCACAACATGCTCCAAGCTTTCTAGTTTTTTCGCGCGGCGGTACGTGACTCCAGCATGACGCTCAGCGGAGTCCCGATCGCGACGAACCTTGCCCCCAAGAGCTCGAAGAGCTTCGCGAGTCACCGAACGGCGGTCAACTCAATTGTCATCGTCCGCCGCAAACTGTTCTCGGCGAGAATAGTGGTGTTTACTATCACGTGGTACGTCTTGTGGGTCGACGTCGTCGCAAGGTTCAAACCCAGCATCTTGTGAAGTGGCAGGGATACCCTGACTTCGAGAACTCGTGGGGGTTTGAAGAGCCACTTCGGCAAGACTGTCCAGACGTCGTTTGACGCTTATGATTACAGAGATCATGACGTTCCGCGCCGTCGTACGCCCCGCGCTTCTCGGCAATAGCCAGGGAGGCCGAAGGACTATGAGCTGATCTCAAGCTATGACCCTGAGCTGATGTGGTCGCAGAATTACCCGTGTGAGAGACCACAGAGCTTGTGGGAGCGTGATGGATCAACCCATACGTTGCAGGGCGACAATCCGAAAGGAAGTCGGCGACGCGCCTTGAGTTTGACAAACTCCAACCGAAGATGGCGTTCTACGCGCGCACCCAACTCTTTGCGGCTCAACTGTAAGTTGTACAGTGAGGAAAGTTTCGGTGCCGCTGCACCCTTCGCTCAAAGAGCTCTTCGTCATCTGCAGCAGTTTCTCCAGTACGAGCACCACAGGATATGTCCGCATCGAGGGTACAGGAGCGCTTTCTCTTTGAGCACAAAGTCGAGTGCGGTACGTATCCACCAGGAATTCTTGAAGAACCATAAAGCGAGCTCGGGAGCTTTGCAATCGTCATGCTCAGCGTGTGTCATGGTCAGGCGGGGGCGATCACGTAGACCGTGTGATCGCGTCCTTCGCTTCTGTAGCGGGATCCATCGTGCGGATGCCGTACTCCACACGAGGAACTAGGAACGACCGTTTATGATCGCGCATGAAAGTTGATCTGCGAATAGCTTCCAGCTGCTGCTTTGGTGCCCCGTCGAGGTCAGCGGAAGTCGAGAGTTCTGGAAAACGACACGGCGTCCGCAAGATTCAAGCAGAGCTCACGTTGGGACACCTCGCCCTCGTCTTCTTCCCATCCTGGGGAAAGAGTATCCGATTTGTAGCCTACTTCCTCCAAATCCTCGACGAGATAATCCATCTCTGTGTCAGGCGCGGTGCGCGGTCGGGAGTAAACATCGCATTTGCGTTGTTGTCGTGCGATCCTGTCGCTGATAATGCGTGGCGCGTTTATCGGCTACCGAGAGCTTGGGTTGCGCTTCTCTTGAAGCCGCGGAAGTTCTGTCCGAAGTCGCGCCGCGTGAAGGAGACGAAGGGTTCTGCCCGCGGGCGTTCTCGGAACCAGCGAGGCTAGGTGTCCCCTGTGTTCTCGACACAGGGCTCATTGAGCAGAGAAGTTGTGAAGAAGGCCCTGGTTGTGTTATGGTGTCTTAGACACGCGAGCCTCGTTCGAGGCGAAAGCTGATTGTATTAACAATCCTGATGGGGGAGAGTGTAACGGATTCTGGTATGAATGGTGTATGCTACGCAAGATAATGTAATCACACAAAAGTGCGGCTACATTTGAACAAGAAGTATGTACGTGGCTGGAACAGCCAGTAGTTATACATCTAATTAGCATATACTATATAGATTGGAAAACCTACAGAATTAGATATTGACGGCTTTGCCGCAAATAAAAACGGGACATACAGTTAACATTCAAAACGGAAGAAGGTTGCAGATACTCTTGGAGTAAGTGGATTGCAATCCGCTACACTCGTTCTGGTTCTAAGTATAGAACGAAGGTCACCGACCTTAACCAAGCTTTCGTCAAGCGAAAGAGCTACGGCAGCACCGCTGCATCATTTGTGGCGCGGAGGTAGCTTCTGACATACAACCACTGCAAAGTGAGGCGACTAAAGTCTCAATGATTCCTGCCCTTGCAGTCGGACATGTTTGGTTCACTGAGCTAGATCCAGATCGCCGTATGCTGTCGTGAAGTTTTTTTTTGCTGCGAGGAGCTGGTACGGAGTACGCAACTCGTTTTGAAAATAGCAAAGTGCAAATAACGCGTGTTGTAACCTGTTTTGCTATATGACACTCAGTGAGGACATAGGTGCTGGGTTGGTACACGGACAGTCGACATGAACGCTATCATCGCTGCTCACTGTGCACAGCGCGTAGATCGGACGCTGGCATTTCTAAAGCAAGGCGCAGAAGTACCAATAAAGTTAACTCTTATGAAGTATCATGGTCACCATTAACGTGTATATCCGCGGGACATGAGGGAGGCTGCGCACCTCTTTTTAATCAGCACACAGGAGTTTATCATTATACGTAGAAAAGCATATATATTCGGTATTAGTTAAAACTCTCTTTTTACATTGTTCTCTCGTTTCACATGACTTTACTTGTAATGTATATTATTTTTGAGGTTACAGGCTTATAGAGACCTTGCTACTTGTAATGCCATCCATTGTGCGTCTGTTAATGCGGACTCGTAGAGTCAAGGTCAAGCTTTGCTGGAGCGTGGCGCGCGGCAACCTCCCCGCATAGATAGTCAATTTCTTAGTATTGCAAATATTACAATTGTTTCGAGCATAGTAAGTTGCTAAGCAAGCATTTTACTTGAGGTCCGAGGACTAGACATTTACCCCTATGAATATTTGGGTACTTCACACCAAACTTAAAAGTTGCAACCGGTTTACTATCCGGACAGGTTGTTTTCTGCACCACTTTCTTCTCAAGAGAACAACTGACTTAAACTGTGTGCTTGATGGGAACAGAATTGTGGTAGATTCCCAATGGACGTCGCCATGACTAAGGCGCAACAGTATGCGGACGAAGAACAAAAGGCGAGCAATAGCATAAATGTGCAAGTAGGAGATGCGTCTACGGGCGCCGTGCACGCTGTAACATTGAATTCAACCCAGTACGTAACCCAATTTAAATGGGACTTGCATTTTAAGGCTAAATTTGCTCATGAAATCCTCAAATAATTTGTCTTACTAGCGTTGCAATAGAAGAGCTACGTGAGGTTCTGGAACGACTTAGCGGCGTGCCTGTAGCCGATCAGATTCTGCTGGGAGGTCCGCCCTTTGCACGGCTGGATCCGCGTCGCACCATTGAGTATTATGGATTACCAGCAGTAAGCAATAATACGTATTGTTGACGTAGGGTCGGTGGAAAGTAAGTGCTTACTATCTTATGTGTAGAAGAATAAAGAAGTATTTCTATACGATCGTCGTCTGCTGTCACAAGATGCAGCCATGTCTATACCCACATCGGCAGCTTTAGCTCCAATCCATGCCGACTGTACGATACACTAGTTTTAATGCTCGACTAGAATGCTAATGTTTCTTTTGGTAGTGCCATCGCAGCCAATGGCTTCATCTGAAGGCTCAAAGATGCTCAGTGAAAGTTCACATCCAATGATGCGAGCACTGGCGGAATATGAAGGCTATTTCCAATTGCAGGTTAGTCAGAGTGAGGCGCTGGGGAGCTGTACTCGAGCAAACATTACAGCGAGTGAGCAAAGCACACATGAATTGCAGGTTCAGGAGGGAGCCGTTGCCGCTGCTATTGCGAATTTGGATCTGTTCAAAAACTCGATGATGAAACACTTTGCTCCGTTTTGGGACGATTTTCAGGCTACGATTGATAAACACGAGCGCCTGCTAAGCCGATTTGATAGTTATCTTGAGGCGCTGGCGACGGTCAAGCTACATCCAGCGCTACAACAAGATGAGCGGAAGACGCTTCATGACTGTGTACCTGTTGACAAGGAGCGGGAATGGGCGGTGCAGTGCGAAAAATCCCACACTCATGTGCGAGCACAAGTCATGAAACTTCGACAGGTGCACGATGAAATTTGTAATGAGGTCACAGACATGTTGGCTGCACATGCAAACACATGTGGGGAGCTTGACGAAGCAAGCATGGAATTAGAACAGATGAAAGTATTAGAGGACAAGCAAATGGTCATTACAAACACCTTGCGCGACAATCTACGTTACGTGCTCAACAGCTTAGAGGAGACGTCGTCAATAGCGAGTGGAAGTAATCCGTTGCAGGCGTCTACGAATGCTTTAGACGTTTGTCGGCGCATTGACGCGTTATACCAAAGCCAACAAAATATGGTAGGAGATTGCAGTCTTCCATGTTTCGTTCTTACACTGATACTTAAGGTTTTTGAAGGTTCCTAACGCACAACATCTGGTGAACGAAGTCGTGGCTCGGGTGAATAAAATTGCTAGTAAGAAAGCTGCGACGTATTCAAGAGTGCTTTCAACACTGCGTAAAATTTCAATTTCACAGTCGAAGATTCGAGACTTTGAAAATTCGCTGACAGTTTTTCGCGAGGCGCTAGCTGCTCAAAAAAAGTATTTTAATGAACTGGAGCATTTGGAGAAGCTACCAGGTATAAAGATGAAAAGTACGTGTGATGTGTATTTCGTGCTGACTTTGTGCGGCAGAATCGTATGCGGCCTGTTTGAAGGAAATCTCTAGGCGTCTAAAATATGGACACGTCTTTTCGGATCGTATTCAGTCTATGGCAGAGGAACTTGCCCAGTTGCGTGAGGATGAGGTGACTGTAATTCTTGGGAATTTACTATTAGGTAAACTCGAGCTTATCTTCCGCTGATTAGGTGCAACACCGTGAGATTTTTTTACGCAGCTATGGCCAGCATTTGCCTCGCGATTTCGTTGCGGGACTAGCAGAAAAGCCTTCTCATTGTGAATTTCGCATGCGTCCATTTGATCAAAGCCTTCCAGTTATTGAAGATGAGCAAAAACCTGACTCATATGGAGATAAAGAACGGTCTTTGTCGGACGAATTTGTAGATTGTGAGGATCCCTCGTCGGAATCAAATAAAATCGCTGAAAATTTGCAGGAACGATGCAAGGAACTGGAGGCGCGAGTGCTGGAGCTTACAACAAAATTGGAGCAGGCAAATAAGCATTCATACTTTGATGGTTCTGGCAGCGAATCGATCGCTCGGTCTGACATATCAAAAACCAGCGCACGGGAATATGGCAGTTCGTGCGAATTTCCGTTAGTTATGGCGCTAGCAGAGACTGCAAGTGGTATGACTAGCGTATCAGAAGTCAATCGGTCTAACCCTCTTGACCAAGAGCTAGCAACTGTGAGGCGAAACATCGGTAAGGATGGCAATTTGATAGCGCTTGTATAAGAATGGATTCACTATAATGCTGGTTGATTTCATGGGTCAGACAATGAAAAGAAAGACGCATTAATTGCCAAACTGGAGGTGCGTTGCCAACATGTCGAAAATTGATAATGACTTAACTTTTGTGCATTTTGTCGATTTTGCAGATTGAAAATCAGCAATTCTTGCTTAACGCGGCAGCTTTTGAAGAATATCCTTTCTACCATTTTATATTTGCATGCTGTGTGGCATTTTATCTGTTGACTGTTGTTTTCCTTAACCGCGTATTGCCTATTTGATGCTATTTTTTTGTTTTTTACGGAGATTCAGGAGCGATCAAAGCATGAAAAACAGCTCAAGGAAAATCAATCCATGTTACAGCAAACACTTACTGAACTAGAAAGCACGGCTCGAAGTCAGCGTAATCTATTGGCAAGAGTATTGAGACTTCTTCAGCTTCCCGTCGAACCGCAAAGCTTAGAAAATGAACACATCGATGCGTATCTGGAAACCAATTTTGATGTCATTGAGAAACGTGTGGAGGAGCTTTTGACAAGCGCCGAGTCGGAAGCGGTAAGGCATCTTCGATATATTGCATCATTGTATTTTACTGACTTATCGATCATTGGATCATCGGATGCTCCAGTCGGAACTTTCTAAGCGGCGGTCCGATCTTAGCTTGGTGGAGTCCGAGCTTGATACGAAGGACTCATTTAAAATATCTTTTCGAAGCTTCTCTGTGAATGACCTGGCACTTTTTTTGCCTACATCAGCGCCTGGGAGCGAAGCACAGCGTGTTTATCTAGCCTTTCACCTTGGTTGTCCCCATCGTTTTCTTTCAGAAGAATCCATTTCATCATTTAGCCATGACGGTCAAAGGTGCGTACATCAATGCTTGATTAGCTTGCTTCATGTCTGCTAACTTTTGTTATATGCTAGATACCCGGACTATGTTGTTGGCCGTATCGTGCTTATTGACGAGCAGATAGCAACGGAAGTCAGTAACCCGTTCGCACTTCACCTTGGGACAACATTTTACGTCTTGACGGTCGCAAGTCTCCACGAAGGTTGAAAACCTTTTAATTTTTACAAATATTCACAAACTCATAAACTGCCAATAACTGGCTCATCAAAATATGACTACTATATACTTTTTGTATCGTTTTGTACTAATTCCTCGCATAGCCATCTTTGCTTCTCATAATTTCAAAGCCACCAGCTCTCATGGATGCTCAGCAGTCGAAAGCAGCCGAGGCTATAACGGCCAAGCGTGCCGCCGAGCAATTCGATCGAGAATTTCAGCGCTACACAACCAAACAGGTGGGCTTGTTCTCGATCATGATACGATTTGATGTTAACTTTGATGCGGTAACAATATCTACAGTCCGTTAAAAGCGCGCGCGCTGTTGCCCTAGCTCGAGCTGAGCTTGCCAAGTACAATGCGCTAGTTTTTCAAGATAAGAAGTTAGAAGACGCAGGTATCATGAAAGGTCGACTGTCTCCAGAGATGCGTGCCATTTATGAGAAGAAGATTAAGGATATCGAGAACGCATTGGACACGTTTCACCTGTCTGTGGCAGGTTACAATCGTACCAAGGCGCTTTTAAGCTTCGTACTGCTTGTGGCTTTTGCACTTATGATGTTCTTTCAACCATGGGCCAAGCATTTTAACGACTCTGACGATCTGACATACGAGGAATACGAAGCGCTAGAGGAGGAGTCGAGCGAGACGTTGAAAGACAACGTTGGTCTCAGTGATGAGCTTTAATGCTTACTTTTCCTATATACGTGGATTGGTTACTCAAGTATTATTTTGGCTACAAAATTGACATTAACGGTTCATCCTATAATAATTTATTACCCCTTGAGCATTAAACGTCGCTTGCACGTTTCTTAAGCTGCAAACTAACCGAGCCCGACATGGTACCAGTGTGTTGTCCACCATTGGCCAGTTGTACGACAAAATTGTCTCTTCCGTCACGCGAATCATCGCTACCATCATTCGAAGGTTGGGGAATGCAGATGACGCCTTGACCAAAACATGGTCCTTGAGCGCCAGCATGCACCTTGATGGCTACATGCATGTTACCTGTTGGTCGCGCGAACGTACCATGTCTGATTCCATTGCGCACGAAGTCCGACCACTTGACGTGAGCTACGTTCGTCTTACATAACAGACGATCGGTATTTTCAAAATACACACCACCACTCATCGAGTCTGCAAGCTCCAAGAGTTTGCGCTGAGCTGAAAAAATGTCTTCCGATGGTAATGGAAAGACAATAGTGACTACAGCTTGGTGTGCATGACGATCCAAAGTCGAAAACCGCCGATCCAGATCGATTGAGTTGCTTTTAGAAGCATTAGAAAAGTCAGTTGCTGTACGTGGTTGCCATGAAATACTGGCAAAGTTTAATTGAAGCTGACATTCGAGCACTCCGCTAACATCCTGCATGCGCTGGAGCATTTTGTTGGCCAATTCAATCTCAACGGGTAAAAAGTCACGGTTGACAAGAGCTTGGAATACTGCGAGCACCGGCTTATGATCCGAGCAATCCACGTCTTCACATGAAGCATACACAACACATCGTAGTCGGTGGCGCATATCTGCTTGGGAAAAGTAGAGTATACGATCCGTGTAAGATGGAATGCGCAAGCCATGACCTTCGACGGCAGTCGTGTAACACTTCCTTAAGTCCTCAAAACGCCAATTACAAGTATTCAAGTTTAACGCTGTCCCACGCACACGTCGGAATGTAGGTGGAAACGCAATTTTAGCCTCTCTGAAGCCGTAAAAAATCTGTCCGTCTTGCATACCTGTACGCAGCTCATCGTGAGCAAGCACATCATCCCATACGAAGCAATCGTCGTCCACAAGCTCACAGTCAGCGGAAAATTGAGCGCTACCGCTGCTACCATTCGACGAAGCAAACACGGACGAGGTGCTTTTGACATTGCGCTCCAACATACTTACATCAAGGTCATTGCTGTCTCTGTCGCTGCTACCCGAACTTCCAAGGCCGAGCGAACTGCTAAAGCCATAACATTTCATGGGACTCCACCGTTTTCCCAAAAGCCCTCGACGCAAGCTGCGAGTTTGCTTCATTGGCGCAGGATGTGCGGTTTCACACTGTCGTACTTTCGTTATGAGCTCTAATATAGTGTCAGTCGTTGCTTGGCGCTGAGTCAATCTATAATTTAGATCACCTAGAACGAAGCTGTGGTGGTGCACGTACGGAAACTCAAAGCCCACGTCTTCTAAATTTAAGTGCAGCTCTTTCAAAATATCTTGCGAGTCGCGATTCCGCCGTCGTACGTTTGATTTTCCCTGTTTTGAAGTAAATGAGCACATGAGTTCTTTTTTCCACCATCAACACAACTATGTGCGACTCATTACCTTGGGATCCGACGACAAATGACATCCGACAAAAGCAAACGAGGTGTCAAAATATCGGAATGCAAAGCCAACAGCGCCTTTGTTTGAAGCACGACCGAGGACCAGCGATTTTCCAACATTAACTTCTTGTTGTACTACAGGTGGCATGTAGAAAGCGCCGCTATCCACATCGATTGATTTGATTAGTACTGTTATTGCAATGTGTCCATGATAGCCCAATGACGTATTCTTGCTACCAATTTCGCGGTGATATTGGTAAAACTTCGATGCCTTACGAATAGGTCCTGTAGTTGCTGGTTCAGGACGTCCACCCTCCAGGTGCTGGCAAATTAAACTGCGAGTATGCGTCAGATGCAGACACTCCTGCAATCCAATAACGTAAATGTCATGTCCAAGCGGAATCCACTTGGCAAGCTGCGCAGGCGTGAGTCTAGCTTCCCCCATGTTAAATGTAGATACAAAAATAGTAGCAGGCTTACGATAATGCTGAACTAGACTGTAATCAGTGCATACGTCTGTCGATGGGAACGATGGGGGGCAAACGAACTTGAGCGTTGACGAGACCGACGAATTGCACACGATAATTCGATTGAGCTTTGTGAGTAAGCCTCCATAGATGATAGCAGTTGCCAAGCCTTGTGTGCAAACGGTCACCTGCATTAGAAGTGCCACCGCAAATCTTGCCGAGCCCAATTCGTCGTCAAATACTGTTCAACATAGTGATGCAGATCCATGTCAACACAGTTTGTGCACGATATATTTATCGTTATGCAATCATACTCACGTCGAAAAACTGTACTAGGGGTCCAAAGTACGACAAAGGTGGCGATGTATATTCGTAGCTTGGACGTAATGATCGCCCACGACTCTTGTGCTTCTAAGTTGGCATGACGAAAGTCGCGTGTCATGCGATTATGCGTGACCCAAAGAATGACGGAGATATAGAGAATTGCTAGTATAACAAAGAGGTAGAAGGACCAAAGCCGCTTGGCGCGCGACTCGACCCAGCAGTAGAATGTAGCATCCCCAAACAATCTGGCGACGTAGAGCGCGATACTACACGTCACAGCGGGTACAAACGCCAACAACACATACAGCTTAAATCTGCTTTTTAGTCGTGCTTCGCTGTCTCTATACACGATCCGCCGGTAGAAGCAATGGGCGATAGCTGCATTCCAAAAGACTGACATGAGGCCAAATACATGCAAAACAAAGGCCTGGATATTGCAGATCACAGTGACGTCTTCAGTGGCCGAGATTGGGTTGCCAAACATCTTTGGAAAGGTCAAACCTGCATCAAGCACCGAGAGGACGACCACCATCTTTTGTACCATTGAGACGCCACTATGTAATCTAGCAGTTTTGTAATGATGTCGAATGATGTACAAGCACCCAATGAGCGACAGCGCGCAGCAGCTCAAAATGACTGCATGCACCACATCCAACTGTGACGACGAAAGCTCCGAATGCTCGTCTTGCAACAAGCGGAGTGTCATGTGGTCCCCGGCTGTCAGCGTTATGGGACCCCGTGATGCACGACTTGAATGTGTTATGTTGATCTGCTAAATAATAAAGACGGATATTAGCTTGTGCAGCTACAGTACGCGTCAGTGGGGCAAGATGTCGACATACGTAGATAATATTTAAGTAAGTGGCATAGACGTGTGCTTAGGAGTTTTTAGTCCGGGTCGCAGCTTTAATGTGGCTAACGCTTCGGATACGTTGGCTAGCAATGGATTAAAGTTTTGTAAATCAAGTCCTCATGATAATCACGCTGATCATCGGAAGTCGCAGCAGCATCGCGTGTACTCGCCGCCCGATATTGTTGTTCACCGTAAAGATACAATCTAAGCATAAGTTGGCTTAATAATTCACTTTTACGCACAGTTGCAAAACCTCTCGCACTATACACTATCATTATTCGTAATTCAGGGTGCTATTGATAGATGGCTTCACCTGGATCTGGGTTGATGAGGTCGAAGTGAACAAATTAAATGTTCTAGCAAAAAGCTACGCTTTCTGTCGAACACTACGCATGTGAGCATTTCATTGCTCTAGGTACAAAATACCGGTTAGAGCCTGGCATGCGTAATCATAAGTTACGGAGCTTTGGAATGCATGGAGTTTGTTGATGTACCGCACGTATCTTAAATTCTAATAAGTGTACTGTTGTTGTATAGTAAAACCACAGATTTTTTACTATTGACATACTTTTGTTTGGCCGGATGGATTCACAACATGCGATATACACAGTGTATAAGATCGTGACTCTTACATCTGTGATATGCTTTTTGACCTGCTGTCTGCTTTTGCAATAAATCTTTACCGAATATACAAAATTGCCTATTTAACCCACAATGGTCTGTACTGATATCGATTATGCACAAACCTTCTACAGAAGCAAAAATGACAAGCTTAAAATAAAATGCCAGACAAAGTAGTCTTTTTTATGCCGCATCCATCTAGATGATTTTCATCGTGTACCACCGTACACTTGCTCACTACTGTCTCTCGGAGACGATAGTGACATTAGTATAACGTGTCAAGGTACCAAGCTCAAAAGTGTGGTATCACGATGAAGTAGTATCGATAGTAAAACGGATTTTCAGTTAAACCAACTATATTTTCGACATTGGTTTTCTTAAAATGTTGTTATGGCAGATAAGTACCTGGATATTTAAGAGACGGCTGGGTGAAGAACCCAGTACGGATACTTACGTGGACTACTTGTTGAGCCAATACTTTCTCTGTTCGATGTGGTCGGCAACCCCGTTGCAATTATTAGCATTTGACGTCATTAATACTGTAACGTACCCTGGCAGGAAGGGTGTGGGTTACACAAGATGTGTAATTAAAATTGGTGTGGGTTACATAAGATGATGTGACAGCACAATGGTGTGGCTACACTTTAAACGAGTCAGCACGTGGCTGGAACAGCCAGTATTTTTCCATTTAATCAGGTTTTGCTATATAGGTATGAAAATCTCTGGATTTAAATATAGGCGGCTGTGCCGCGAATAAAACCGAGCACCTTGGGATAAGGCTGTAGTTGCTCTTGGAGTAAGTGGATTGCGATCTGCTACACTCGTATTGGCTCCAAGTATAGAACGTAGGTCACCGACCTTAACCAAGCTTCCTCTAAGCGAAAGAGCTACAGCAGCCCCGCTGCAATTACCTCAAGCTCGATTAGAATGACTCCAATGCGTAACGGGGTTACACGTACCCTTGTATGAAAGGGTGGGTCACACCATCCTGTGTGACCGTACAAAGGTGTGGACTACACAAGTTAGTGTAATTACGCAATGGTGTGGCAACACCGGAACAAAAAGCCACTACGTGGCAGGACTGCCAGAAGATATGCATATTGACTAGATTTTACAATTTAATCAGGACAACCAAATGTTTTAGATATAAGCTGCCCTGCCGCAAAGAAAGCAACTCATTACACTTTCAATTTTGAACCAAAGAGTATTTTTGCCTTGTTTAAGGTTATCGGTACTCTTGGAGGTAGCAGATTGCGATCCGCTACACTCGCACTGGTTCTGGTATAGAACGTAAGGTCGGTGACGTTAGTAAACTTCCTCTAAGCAAAGCCCGCTGCACTTGGCAGCACTCGTAGCTATTATACGCCTGAGTCTTTACGACTAATCCTCCGTGAGGATGGAGCCATACTCCTTTTTGCCCCAAGGCATAAAGAACAGGCTTAATAAGCTGATGTTCCTGCTGGACCTTGAAGGCTTGTTTTACAAGGGCCCGAAGCGATAAACGCGCGCCTAAAGGCGAGCGATGAAAATGCCCTGCTAGAGCGAGCACCAACAGCAGAAGCTTTCGGTGTCGACTGTATCGATAATGTCAATGTCGACGACGGATGACTCCTCCCGGCCCAGGCCGCTCATGATGAGCGTGAAGAGGTTCGAGGGTAACGATGGAGGGGATACTCTGCTCTGGGTAAGCGAGGCTGAGAAAAATATGGCGTCCGCCATGCTCCAAAGCGAGCAACAGCGCGTAGTGCTAGCTATCTCCAAGCTTGGGGGCCAAGCGATAGAATGGAAACTTTGCGTGCGGTGCTTCGACTGAATCTGCGTTCCCATCCTGGAAGGGGCAGAAGCGTCAGCTTTCCGAGTGTTCTCGCCACCTGACCAGGCATATCGCGTGAGAACGCACTTTCTTGCCACCCGACAGGGCAAGAAGGAGTTGTTGGACTTGTCTAACAGTTGAGTAATTTCTTTGCCGGGATGGCGGCTGATCCTCTCAGATGCAATTACAGTGACCGTCTTTATGGAGAGCCTCCGCACTGGCGTCGCCAGAATGAAAGTCTCCCTTGTGCATCCGTCTTCTTTCGAAGAAGTGGTGAGTATGGCATTAAATGCCAAATTTAACTTTAAGTCAGCACGACTTGGTTGGAATGCCCACCCTCAGAGCTCGTCTAACGGACCTGAGTCAATGGATCTCAGCTATGCTAAGAAAGAGGAGGGAGAGCTGAGCTACCCAGTAGTATTTAAACAGCCGACGATGTTTTGTCTGTGGAAACAACCGTCATCATCGGACGGGTGTCCCGCTTCTACCCAGTCTGGTTTGTCGCGAGGAAATGAAAAAGCCCAGTAGGCGCGGGGCACCCTACTGGAGAAGAACTGAGTTCTGTTGTGCCTCAAAGAGGTAGAGGGCAGCAGGGTCCAGCCCCGATGAGTTCCGTGCTCTTCGGGACAAGCCGAGCTTGCTGGTCGTAAAAGCGACCATGAAAGGCTTTGAGAAGCATCGAAGATTCTAATCATTCCCAGGGCGTCGGGAAATACTGTTCGACGTTTTACGATCAAAGTAAGTCAGCTGTATGCTGAGGCGCTGGAAGCGCGGTTGAACGATACCGTCACTGTTTGCTTAGCGACGGGGACTTGTTTCACTGTGCCGAAGGCCCCTGTGGACCTCGGTGTCAAGTTTCCAGATCTTGATAGCGTGGAACGCTGGCTAGTCTTAAACTTGGATGCAAGGTATGACCTTATTCTGGTATGGCATGGCTAAAACACCATTAGCCATGGATTGATTGGAAGTCGAAGACCTTGGGCGCAAAGGACACGTCTCCTGGTGTAGCTTTGAAGATTCATGAATCCACCTCTGCTAGACAGCAGAAGCGCTATTGACGCGGGTACAGGAACGGGACAATCAACGTATATAGGACAAGAGTCCAGTATGACTCGCGGGCTGAGCGTGGAGCGGCAAGTGACCCACTGGGCACTGCTCAAGTAACAACGCAGTTGCTGCACGCCAAGAGTGGCATGGTCGGCCAAGGGCTGAGGCATCGAAGGCGAGGCCCCAGTGATGCACGTGGAGTGGCACGTAACCACTTAGCACCGCTCACGTTACGAAGTAGTTGCTGCATGGCAATAGTGGTATTGTTGGACGAGGTCCGAGGCATCCTGGGTAAGGCCCTTTTTAAGCGCGTGGAGTGAGTGACACGTTATCTACTTATCGAAGACTGCGGAAATAGCAGCTCTTTGTCGGATGTTGTTGATAACACCAAAGCTCCGATGGAGCAGGGAGTGGGGGCACTGAACGACACTGAGAGCGGGTTCCCACTGATCCTACCAGGATGTAAAGCCGCAATAGGGAGGAAACGGTGACGCCGTATGTTATCTACAAGACGCAATGTGTCGACCCTGACTCAGGGTGTGTCTACCGTAGATGATACCGCACAGTAATATACCCTTGTCAACGGATTAACGGGGGAGAAGGACGGCAACGTCACCCTCGAGGTTATTCCCGCGGTGGATGCTTTTCTTGAACTGGACAAAATGTCCGTCGAAGAGTTTGGGGATGCCTTGATGGCAGGCAATTTAGCCGAGGTGGGCATTATACGACCAAACGAGGTGATTAACTCGTCGTCGCTTCTGGATGAAGCTGTCTAAGAGGACACAAGAGGGTGCTGAATGCAAGAAAAGGATCTTCGATCCTAAAAATCCCTCGAATTCGTATTATCCATTGTCTCCAAAGATTCACCGTCGGTCCTGCCTCCGGACCGAGGTGTGCGTCATGAGATTGACTTTGTTCCGAAAAAAAAATACTGCTTGACACACAAATGACCCTGGCCAAGGAGCAGTGCAACATCATTTACGCCTTTTTCCGTGCGAAGCACGACGCAGGAATGGTGTATGAGAGCAAGTCTCTCCATTCGACACCCAGGTTTTGTGTTCGGAAGCCGAACGGCAAGTGGTATATCGATCACGCTTTCAGCACAGACGCCGATTTCTAGGAAGGATGTTCTCTAGAACAATCTGGCTGGCTGTACAAAGTACAGCGCACTCGACTTGGTCGATGGCTATTACAATTTGCTCATGAGGGCAAGCGGTATTCCGCTGACAGCGGTGAGTTAATCGAGCGGGATGCACTTGGAGTGGCTGTTAATGCCCCAAGGGCTGTCAAATGCACCGGCAACATTTAATCGTCTTGTGACGCAATTAGTCAGTCCTCACCGGGTGTATGCAAAAATATACTTAGACTACATCTTCATCAACATTCTTGCGGGGCACGGGAGGACAGACGAGTTAATCCACATTGTCCATTTGAGAGCGGTGATCGAGTGCATGCACAAGAATAAGAATGCCAATAAGTGCACCTTCGGCGCTAAGGAAATCCCCTTTGCAAAGTAATTCATAGGGATGCGTGGCCTTCGAGCGAATCCCTTTAAGATCAAGGCCATTGTGGACTGGCCGACTCCAAAGAACCAAAAGGACATGCGCAAGTGGCTTGGCCTCGCCAACTACTTGCACAAATATAGCGCAAATCATGCGGAAATGGCACGACCATTATCGAATCTCCTTAAATAGGATACGGGGACAGCCTCCTACATGCACCAATATTGACGTTGTCAGATCCCGATCGTCCTTTGAGTGTCGTATGTGATGCTTTGAACGTTGCCGTTGACTATGCACTGCTGCAAGCAGACGCCGAGGGCGAACTCGGGTGATTGCGTTCGAATCTCGCTAGCTTAGGCTGCCGAGAGTAACTACTCAGTACACGACAAGAAATGACTTGCGATGAAGTATGCGCTTGTTTAGTTCAGGGTGCACCTGCTTGGCTTAAAGCCGTTCGTGATCTACCCAGATCATGCGCCATTACGCACTGCGACTCAGTCGCCTTACCGCTTGCAGAGAATGGCCAAATGGCTCTCATTCTTTGCCGAATACAACTTTGAGGTGAAATTAAAGCCATTGGAGCAGAATGCTTTGGCTGATGCGTTGTCACGCAGACCGGACTATGAGCTTTCTCATGTCACGACGGATAAGTCGTCAGTGACGGATTTGATCCGCGCCGCATACGCGGTGATGATATGTGTGAAGAGCTGCTACAGGCTCTCGGAAGCAAGGTGCTCTGAACCTCGGGCAAGAAACTGTCGTCGCGATTGCGCGCTCGGTTACACCAGTATTCGTTGGATAACGGGTTGCTGTATTATGACATCGGTTCGACAGATACGCTACGAGTTGTGGTTCCTCACGATGAGGATTTAAAATACCGTATCTTCTATGAGGCCTACAACAATTTACTCAGTGATCATCTCGGTCGTGAAAAGACGTACAGCTCTGTGAGTCGCCACCAATGGTGGCCCTAGCTGTACAAATGCTCGAGCGCTTATGTGCGCACGCGTGAGACGTTTAAATGGGTTAAACTCTCTCCCAATGCGGCGGCGGCGCTGGCCAATTTACCGGTACCCTCCGGTTGTTGGCAGTCCATGAGGATGAACTTTGTGTTTGGCCTGCCGAAGGACTCGGCGGGC